TGTTATTAATTTTTCCTGTAATATATTTTTACCATAAACTCCCTCAAGATACTTCCCACCTTTCTATCCACCCAATTTCATGTTATCTCTATATATAACTAAAAATAAAATGAAACAAAAACAGAAAATACAAAAATCAAATGAGACAAAAATGCTGACAAAACACAAAGCCCACAAATAAAGAACATGGAGTTAATTTTGTGTTTGCCAGTGACTCCTGGGTATGGGGCATGCCCTGGATTGCAGTTGATATGCACAGTGACACTCTGTTGGAGGAAACTGTTTTTCTCTTTCCTAGCAGGTATCAATTGCAAACGGCTTCTTAGTTAGCAGCGAGATTTTGCATCTGTTTACTATTTTCATTGCTAAGATGTTGTCTGGTTAGAATTGTGTAGATTTTATGTTTGCTGCTATAGCGCATGAGTTCATATGTGCACTAGTCCTGTTATGTCTGAAAAACATTGTCTCTTGCTATCCTTCTTCATCCTCTTGAACATACATCCCTGAGCCTTAAGAGAAGGTGTTCGATGGAAATATTCTGCTTAGGACTGAGTGCTCCAAAATCTCTTAGTCTCTGCGTATCATCCAGTTGTGGTTCACCGTGTTAATTCCTATTTATTGCAAGCAGCTACTCTGATGAGGTTTGAGAGAGGCACTCGTCTATTGGTATGGCAATATGTCATTAGGATTCATTTTATTACTAAGTTTGTTGAATAGAATAATCTTTTTAGGTTTCCCCCTAGGACTATGACCTATATAGTCTCAGGTCCTTAGCCAATTTAGGAGTGCCATGTGTGTGTTCTACCTCATGGAGTGGGCCTTAATTTCAATTTTTAAAAACTGATTGGTTAGTCATATATCATTTATGCACTATTATACCAAGATATCTTGCAGACAGATCACTTGTATAGGTCACAGGATTTGTACCTAGGTGATTCTGATGATTTTCTTTCTTCTCCAGGAATATGCAGAGTAACTTCTAGCACCATGAATACTAGTCAGTAGGGGTGAACCTTCTAGTTGGGCACCAGATCACCTTCTCCATATTTCATGACATAAGTAAGTAGTATTTTCAGCAACCAGGCCTAACCATCAGGGTAACCTATAACTTTGCCAACATTCTGTGTTGTTTTGAGGAATCCAAGGTAAGCCTGTGGCCAGTGACTCAGCAAGATGTAGCTTGTTTTTTACTTGGTAGCAGAAGATGTCTAGTTGGGGCATTTTTTCCCCATTATATTTTTCCCCCATCATTATAAATGATGACTCAATTTAAATTCCTTTCATATATGTATGAAATTTAGGAAGCTTCTACAGTAGTAGATTTCAAAATGAATTTTAAAAAGACCTTTAGTGTTAATTAGCCCTCCACATATTCCCTTATTTATCCTGTTCTCCCATTCCTCTCAATTTAATCCCCCTCTTCTGGTTTCTCCTTTATTTCTCTATAACACTATATTTTATTGCCCTTTTGTAGTTGGAGTTTTCTCCAGTCCTGCCTGAGCCCACAGCCACTCAGATCCAAATAAACACACAGACACTTATATTAATTAAAACTGGCCTAATTAAAACTGGCTCAGGCTTCTTGCTAGCTAGTTCTTACACTTAAATTAACCCATAATTCTTATTTATGTTTAGCAACGTGGCTTGGTACTTTTTCCCAGTTCTACCTTCACATCTTGCTTCTCATGGCAGTGGCAGCTGGTAGGGTCTCCTGACTCAGCCTTCTACGTCTCAGAATTCTCTTCTCTGCTTATCCCACTTACATTATACTTCCTGCCTGGCTACTGGCCAATCAGTGTTTTATTTATCAATCAGTCAGAGCAACACATTTCACAGCATGCAGAAAGACAACCCCAGCACCCTTTCCTTGGAAGATTCCTTCCTTCAACTAGTCCCTTACTAGGCACCTAACATCTGTGGTTATTCAGATCATAGCAGTCATATTGAAAACATAAATGGCAACTTGTAAGAGAAAACAGGGAATATTTGGTTTGGGGAGTCTGGGTTACCTCATTCAGGTTGATAGTGTCTAGTTCCATCCAGTTTTCATAGTTTAATTTTTAACAGAAGAATAATATTCTGTGTAAATGTACCATATTTCCATTATTCATTCATTAGTTAATGTACACCTCAGCTGTTTCTAGTTTCTGGCTATTATAAATTGATCAGGAAGAACAGGAGTTAGAAAGTACCTTCATAGTAAGAAATAGAGTCCTTTGCATATGTGCCCCTGAATAGAATAGCTAGATTGAGGTAAATCAATGTTTAACTTCTGAGATACCTTCACAATGATTTCCACAGTGGCTGTACCAGTTTGCACTCCCAGTGTTAATGAGGAAGCATTCTCAAAATAGTTTTATTTTGCATTTCAGTGAGGATAAGGATGTTAAACATTCTTTAAGTGTTTCATCATCAGAGAACTCTCTGTATCCCATTTTAAGTGATTTTTTTATATTCATTCATTTAGATCTTTATGTACTCTAGATAGTAATATATTCTGGATAGTAATCCTCTATCAGTTGTATAACTGATAATTTTTTCCACTCTGTAGGCTGCCCCTCTGTCCAAATGAAAGTGTCCTTTGCCATACATAAGCTTTTCAGTTTTATAACATCCCATTTATTAGTTGGTGGTCTTAATAGGCTGTTGGCAGGTGTAAAAAAAAGACTCATATTCAAAAAATAATTCTGACTGTATGCCCTGTTCCTATTGTTAGCAAAGTTTGTACTAAAACCTCATTCTGTAATTTCTATATATTGATGCAGAAAATAAAGTCTTAGAAAAGTTAAATACTTAAAGGTCACACCAGCTGGTAAGACACAGAGTGGATTTGTCTGGTTCAACTTTTTCTTCTCCCTCTTTCGTTGCTAATTTTTCTCTCTAAATAATACATTTTCTGACTTGTTTCTGACATTCAATTTGATCTCTCAAAAATAATTTCCTTAACTATAAATATTGCCACTATTTTGTTGCTACAGGAAGAAAAATATTACTTTTAGAACTGTAAAATCCTGATTAATTCTTTTAAAAGTTTATGAACAGTGGAAATAAAGAATGCTATTTAAATTTCTAATTTTTATATTAGCATACCTAGCAGGTTCCAGTATATCTATCACTTTCCTGCTTGACAGCATTTTCACTTTACTTGCAGTGAATATTAGGTCAGTCACCATTTAAGACATGGGAGTTTTATCATATTAAAATTGCACAGAATTTTACTCTATTCCTCCATTCTACATTTCACTTGCTGAGTTTACAGTTTCTTATGGTATTTGAAATTAATTTGTATGAGGTTCTTACTATTGCATCTACAGAACTTAGACTATTTCCCTGTCATATTCATAATAAATATTACATATTTACTACATAAATGAATCAATTAACAAATAGTGAGACCTAATTTCTAATACTGTGTTTTATTTATGGAAATTTACTTACTTCTTTCTTATTGAACTTTTACAGATTATCTTTTCAGATTTTGCTTTAATTTCTCCAACTGTCACACTTTTATTTCATTCTTAAAACTTGGTTGAGTATAACAAAATTATTGATAAAAATATATTCCAAAATGAATTGACTAATTTGACATATGGAAGAATTTTCTTCCAAAATTCTAGATAAAGTACAGTTGATAATACTATACAAACATGCTTCAATATTCTAGTACACACACAAAGAAAAAGACTACCTTAGAATGAAAATGTATCTAAGTAGCCAGGCTTTGTTTCATGAATGTACTGATGTTTAAAAACAATAATCATTTTACATCTATGCCATTTTAGGATAAACATAATGACAAAAATAAACAGTAAAGGAGAACAAGAATTTTCTTTTATGTGTTTTCATGATACATACTGAAAAGATAAAAATGATAGCTTTTATTATCATACAAACGTCACAAATCAAATTATTTTGGACATGCTATTCCCTTGAAGTTATTCTCTACTCATACTTAGTGGTAATTAGGTTCATCAGAAGATTTTAATATATAAGATTACTAATCCTGTCCCAAAATAATGAAGTTTACAATACTCTGGTTTCATCATTACATGTTGTATTTCTGGCCTTAAAAACAAATAAGAAGTAAATTTTATTTTATGTGAATGTGCTGATTAACGTCAATTTGACAGTAGTTTAACATTAAATGATGTTTAAAATTTTGAAGAACAGATAATTCAGAGTATCAATCAGTATTATATAACAAAGTTACTCTAATTTTAATCAATATCTGATGTATTTTTATAATATATAATTTCTGATAACTATGCATTTCCTGTTAAATATATATTTTTACAATGTTGTTGCCTTTATGGTACAAAATGTGAAGAATAATGATATAAATAAGACTTGTTAGATTTAGGTGAGTGAAAAAATATTAAAGTATTGTCTGTAAATGGAAATATTTCTTATTGGAAATATATTTTTTGTCTTTAGGTCTTAATTTTATTACTAAACTCAAAACCAGTCAATATTTGTATGTTACAATTTTATCTTTAATAAAAATTTTAGAAACATATTTAATAATATTGAAATAAAATAATAAGTTATAATATCTCACAGAATATAATGCACATTTTTGTATGCTTTTGGACATGTTTTCTCTGATTGAATACCTAACCTTTTTTTTTTTAAAGCAAGTGTAATTTTCCAGAAAAAAGAAACAGTTAAATGTAGTTAAAACCGTAATTGAATTATTTCTTTCTCATCTATTACCTGCATAGTTTGGGGGCTCTGTGAAGGGAAAAATCAGAACCTAATTATTATAACAGAGTGAGCTATTCACCTTGTGAATAGCTCTGTGAGCTGCAATTAATCACAAATTGATGTTTGTGTGCTTTCATGAAGTGGATTTATTGAGCTTTGACACATTTTTCCTTCATAAATGGAAAAATAGAAGTACATACTCCTGGGGAATCAAGGTTAGACCTCAGAAATTTAATAGGATTTTGTATCCAAGTTGCCATGGAGATTTGTTAAGCACTCTCAGTCTGTGCCTCTGTGTACTCATGGCCTCTGGTAAAAGCTTCACCTTCTTTTGACTCAGAGGTGCTAACAGGACATTACTTGAAAGAGTCAGGGATTACTTCATTCATTCTCTCCTGAAAGATATTAAATCACATTTTTCTCACTTCCCCCTTGCTTCTTTGTTCCTTCTCTTCCTCCCTCTCTTCTCATTTGCCCTTTAACCCCACATAAAACATACTGGTATTAGGAAACATCCTACTGAGCAAGCAGGGCCCAAAGCTAGAGCTAATCAAGAACAATTGAGAACCCAAGAAAAGTAGGAAAATTAAATCATCCTTAGTTATTCTGTTTTTATTTATTTTTCTTAAAAATATGTTTACATTCTCTTTACAAACATGCTCTAAGTCTTTTTATGGTCTGTTCAAGTAAGTGCCTTTTATTTTTATTTTTTGTTCATAAAAGTTAATTAACATTGTAAGAAAAATTCACTAACAAAGATAAAGAGCCAAAGCCTTGATTCACAGGAATGGCTACATGTCATATAACTGTTTAGATTTTATTTGGAAGCCAACAGGAACAGAGGTGCCACACTTTAAAAAAGCTAATAATTAAATATGGTATAAAATATATTCAAATTTGAAAGACATGTTTCTAAGTTAACACAGATTACATTACTCAAGTTCAAGTTTTTCTCAAGACTCATCAGAATAACATTTGTTAAGTGTCATATTTAAGCAAAACAAAGTATGTTGGGACTTCTACTATTCCATGTTATTACAACTCAGTATTTAACTATCTGTAAATTTTTTTTGCAACAAAGACATTTGATTTTTAATTTCACTGCGTGCACTGGCAAGTAGATCGCCGTTCTCCAAGTCCTTCAAAGCCTAAAACACAAAAAACAAGTTTTCATCACAGGCTCTAAAGTTTGAAATTACTTTTTAAAATTAAGAATCTTTTCATATTCAAATAGTATCCATTATCTACTCCATCTTCATAAAACATTGTAATATGGGGCTGGAGAGATGGCTCAGTAGTTAAGAGCACTGGCTGCTCTTTCAGAGGACCCTGGTTCAATTCTCAGCACCCACATGGCAGCTCAAAACTGTAACTCCAGTTTCTGGGGATCTGACACCCTCACACAGCCATAGATGCAGGCAAAACACCAATGTACATAAAATACAAATAAACAAGTAAAAAAAACATTTTAATATATAAACACCCAAATTCATACCATAAAGAATATGTGTGAACAAGGAATCAAAGGCAATTATAGCATGTACAAAAGTAGTAGTATGTGAATTAATAGTTTAATGAGATGTTAGGGTTAGATAGAGCAAAAAAAAAATGCAGCTCTCGGTCACCCTGAAGCCCAGTTGAGAGCATAAAGAACCGAACATTAACAAGGACAACAAAGCAGTACACTGTCTCAAAAGAAGGGTGGGGCTGGATATTTAGGTCAGTTGGTAGAGTGCTTGACTAGCATGAATGATCCCTGGGTTTGATCCACAGCACAACATAAATCAGGCTGTGGAACATGCTTGTAATCTTAGCAGTCGAGAGGTAAAAGCAGGATTAGGATTTCATGGTTCTACTCAGGTGTATAGGAAGACCAATGACATCCTGAGCCACAGAAGACCCTGTCTTTAAAGGGAAAAAATAAAAATGTATAGAATTAGAAACACTAGAAAATCCCAAAGTCCAATCAGTAAATATGGTGATTTTGAGAATTTCTGATAAGATTCTCATATATCAGGTTACAAAAAAAGTCAATGTGAATAAAGATAATTAAGTGATCTATATTATGAGACGGTTTCCAAGTAATATAAAACAAAAAGTACATTTCTTTATTACAGGATCTTGCTGTGTAGCCCAAGCTAGCCTCCGACTTCCCATCCTTCACCCTCAGGTTCCCCACAACTGTCATCATTTGCCTGTGCCACTATACCCAGTGAAAATTATAAGTTAATTTAACTAACATGTTATTTTTACTTGCAATATAAAGTGTACTACTATGTTAAAGCTGTGGAGATACTTTAAAAAAATAATAGCACAAGATACCTTACCCTTTTAAAGGAAAAAAAAACATGTAAACAAAATAATTCAAAGACTCCATAACTGGAATGGAAATGAATCTATTTTAGCTATAGTATAGAAAATAGGGTGATTCCAACTAGGTTGGCAAAAGAATAAGATTTCAAAATTAAAGCAATTAAAAATGCTATAGGGAAAGAATATGAACAAAGAATGGAAGTACACAGTTTGTGGGTTTAGATAAAGCAATTATGTAGAGAGATAAGGTTGATGAGCAGATGTAGTAAATGGAGGGGATCTTGTAGAATGGAACCTTATAGAGTAGATTTGCAGAAAGAGAGATATCTTACATAGCTTACACGGCAGACCTATGGAGGGTGGCCGGAAGACCAGAGAGAGAACAAGGAATTGGCTAGAGTTCATAGCACCAAAAAACGAAAAGGAACCAATTCTCTGCTGAATATATAAATAGTTTTTTTAACTAAACTACTCCTTTGTGCACTTTGGACACAGGGCCCATAGGACCCAAGTTGGATCTGACCTGAAAGCCTCCTCTGAGAACTAAATTTCATGGTACCAGATGGTGGCAGGGAAGACTCCAAAGGAGAGAGGCAGCCAATAGTCATATTCAATTACAATGAATATGAACCAAAACAACTGGCAGCATGGCACAATAACCCTAAAAAATGCAACGGTTGCATGAAAATCTTCGTGGTAACCAACAGCACTTTTATTGGACTTAAGATGTTTATGAAAATTAGTATAAAGTTCTTTGAAAGTGTCTTAAAACTACTGTTTGGACCTTGATTCACTAATATGCATATCTATTTCTAGATAATCATATAAACCTGTGAAATATTTAAAGATTTTGTCATCTATTTATGTGGGTGTGTCTGTATATGCATACATGTGCATGTGGGTGTTCACGGAGGCCAGGAGAGGGTGTCAGATCCCCTGCAGCCGGAGTTGTGAGCCTCTTGGTGTGGGTGCTGGGAAGCAGATTCCAGTCTTCTGAAAGAGCAGCTAGCACTCTTAACTGCTGAGTCATCTCTTCAGCCCCTGAGTCTACAAATTTTTAATTCTCACTTATCTTTTGTTTCTGGACTTTCTTTTACAATTATAATTTGGCATATACAATAATTTTGGTCACTGTAATTATTCTACAATATAGTATGTCAGAAAATGCTTCTATAATACATTTGAAAACAAAAATATTCAATAATTTCAATTAAGCATTTCCTTATTTAACAAATACTGGAAATACAAGGACAAATTATAATGTTAAAATGATGTATAGATGTATTATTTATAGTTAAACAGAGAATAAAGTGTTAACACTCTACGTATTTGATGCATAAGCACATTTCTGATAAAAGTCTCAACCTAATACTTCCTGATTTGAATAAGTCCCTGCCCAAATCATGAGAGATATGCCAATTTGCTTATCACTTCAGTTACAATCAATTAATTCAGAATGGAAAATAGTTAAAATTCTGATATGTATTATAATACATTATGGGACTGGGGTGATGTCTCAGCCATTAAAGGCTAGGCTCATAACCAAAAATGTAAGAATTCCGGTCCCAGCACCCACAGCTGTCTCTCCAGCCATTAAAAAGAAAATGCATTCTGTAATAATTTACAACATACCTTTAAGAACGCCTTACTTTCCCGCTTCAGTCTTTTCAGGCCTTGATACTGATGCATCTTAGTTTGTTCAAAAATGTTCTTTTGCTGATAAAAAATATCCTACAAATATAAATGGAAGACTGTAATATCAATTAAGTGTGAAGTTGGTTGCTCTTGATGATGTGGTGGGCTTCTCTCATGCTTGCTAAAGTCTACAACTAAGCTAATCCATGCACTAAACTTTTAAATTCAGAAAAACAATTATAAATTAATCTTAAAAAGAATTTTTATAATAAATGCTGTCAATATTTTGTTTTCATATTTTTTTATCACTAAGTTTAAGCAATTTGTGTTTTTAATGCTAACCAGCAAAAACATCCTCAAAGTCATGGAGTAGGAATTTTTGAAGACAAATTCTATATGTATAGAACAGTAAGAACTCATGGTCTTCCTTTCTCAACATCTCAAGTACCTGGAATTACATGCATGCACCTTGTGCAACTAAGCAGGAGTTCTTCGTATGCAAGACATAACTTATTCTAGTGTCTACTCAGATGATTTTCCAATAAATCTGTCCTTTTAGCTCCTTAACTTATTCTCCACCAATGACTTTGTACTCTATATTTTGCCATTACTCATAACACACCTTTCTATAGTATTGGTAATGGAAAGTGTGCATTAATTCCATGACAGATATTATTTTGAACCCTATTAAGTAGATTAATTCTATACAAATTCACCTAATACTTCAACAACTATAAGAAATAGATGCTCACCATTTTCTTTCAAATATGAGGAAACAGATACAATGGTACACTGTCTGTTGCTCCAAGGCTATTACTGAAATCTGAATCAGATCCAAAACATGTCTTCAGAATTGAAGCTATAATCATTATAGAATCTCTCCACATATTATGAGCTCATACTCTAACACTTTCTACTGTAGCTTACTCTTTTTAGTATTATAACTGAGAATTCCTTCAAGACCAAAAATCCATTAATCCTACCTTCTTTTCACTGTTGTCCCTGCTCCTGTTACCTTCAATTTTCTCTTTCCAACCTTAAATTCTATAACCAATCATTAAAACACACCTTGGCATATGCACACTGCGCCATACTTACTCTCTCACATTTACTTGGCTAAATTATGAGCTTGGAAACCTCATCTCAGGCTAGTCTACCTGATGGCAACATGACCTTATCTCATGGAACACACAGAAGCAATGCAAAGAGGCCACTCTCTCATCAGCAAGTACATCAACCACCCATCTGCAGCTGTATACGTCATGTGCTCTATTCTCCTTCCTATTTTCAACCTCCTCAAATACCCCATTCTTAAGAACTCAGCAATTATTATTGTCTTCCTCTTTTAAACATATTCCCTTTCTCTTAAAACAAGCAAACAACAAAAAAACTAGTATATTATTCCTCAGGCTAATAGTTTTTCCTACATTGTCCTGTATTCATTTTTATGAGGGTTGCACTCACTTTTTGAATCTAATCATTCTGATTCAAGACACCAATGATGAACTCCATATTGTCAAATCTACCTTTTTACACCTGTATACTATGAAAGTAATGGTCTTTTCTTCTTATAAAAGGCTTCATTTACTTGGAATAATTTAATTTCCACATAATAGAACACTTGTTCTCAATCTGCTTTCCTGGTTCACTTTCACCTTCTAGAATAAATGCACTGAAAAACTCTAGGGATCTGCCCTTAGACTTTTCGTTTACATCCTCAGTCACATTTTTTGAGACAGGGTTTCTCTGTGTAGTCCTGACTGTCCTGGAACTTGTTATGTAGACCAGGCTGGCCTGGAACTCAAAGATCTACCTGCCTCTGCTTCCTGAGTGCTGGGATTAAGGGTGTGTATCACCACTACACCCTCAGTTACCTCTTGATGGTTTCATTCGATCTTCATGGCTCAAAAATTACCTTAAATTAATAATTCTCAACTTTGTGTCCTTAAACAATGGCTTTCTCCTAAACTCTATTCTCACATACTAGTAGCTTACTCAACTGCACCACTGAATGTTACATGTGTTTCAAATTGAACATTACATAACTCGAGTGACCATTCAAACCCAAAAGTGTTTAGATATAATCAGGACCTAAAATGTAATATTAATATAGTTTTCTAAAATGAAAAGGTGAAAATAAACCAATGGAAAGTGTATTTAATGCTAGAAAATGTATGCATAGGGTTAGTTTTCAGAAATGTGGGAATAGAGAAATAACACGTATTTGACTGCTGAGAATAAATAATGTCGTGAATTCGTGCTGTAGCTTTGCAAAAGTGTGCTTGCCTGCCTTGCAAAATGCCCTGTGTTAAGTTAAGAATACAGAAGGAGAACTGGAAGAAGAGAAAGAAGGTGGGAAAGGGGATGTAAGGCAAAGGAGAGGGAAAGAAGGAGAGGAACATGGAGAGGAGAGGAAGAGAAAGATGCAAACCATGTTCTGGCCACATTGATTAGTTTAGGAACAGGGAAATGTTCAAATCCAGGGCAGTGATATTCCCACGCAAGAATATTCTTCCAGGGCTTTGAGAAAAGACTAACTCAGTTCACTGAAGCTAACAAACATGTAGTTAAGTCCGAAAACAAGATTGACCATACTGCATTTAGTAGGTTCACTAAGACCCACAAACAGCTCAAATAATGCCATGTGATGCATTTCACACACCATTCAACTATGTCTTAAACTAACCTACCCTCAATTTCTTTTACATAAACCAATAATCCTTCATTTATTTTTCTGTAAGTTTCTGTTGCTTGAAATTGCAAGAATCTTAACTGATATCAGAAGTTCAATGGCTTTCATGAGCATTGCATGTGTCTCTGTTTCTGTGGTTTATGGTTCACCAGGAACGGAACATAAAACTGGTAATAGATCTTGAAGTACAGCTCATTTTCATGTGCCTAATGCAAGAATGGTTCCTCTATTTTAACTCAAAAATTAGTAATAATAGATTAATTATAACAACAATTGTGATACTAACAGTTAGTTTATCTTCCTGGTCTCCAAGATGCTTTATATCCAAATCCCATTGCGGAAACACAGTTATAATCTTCTCAGTAAATTCAATTTTAAACTCCCGCCTGTAAAACATAATAATGAATGTTATATTACACATCAAGATGAAGAGATTATTTAAAAAAAAACTAAATTCTCATATTATGTATTATAAAAAGAAGGGCATAATAGCAGAATAAATATTCTTTTGGAAAATAAAATTATGTTTATGTTGATTCCAGTATTTTCCATAACTAATAAAAAAGTGTTCTTGATCCTGCCCCCGACTTCCCTTCCGAACCAGAGGTGAGTATCCGGGCCCAGCTTGGACCCCATCCCTGGGCACCAGCCACTACAGAGAAGACCTGCCCAACTTGGCCCCAGGTTCTAGCCACCAGGCAGGTTCCCTTCGAGCCCCACCGGGAAGGATCCCCTTCTCCAAGACCCCTGGGAGCCCCTGCAATCTTCCACGCCCTGCCCCCACGCCCATCCACCCGAGACCCCAGCCACTTCCTGAGACTTAGAGACCAGCCCCCAGCTCACATCCTGCCCCAGACTTCCCTTCTGGACCAGAAAGAGAGAGCTCCCATCCTGCCCCGGACTTCCCTTCTGGACCAGAAAGGGCTCCCATCCTGCCCTGAACTTCCCTTTTGGACAAGAACACCCACCCTGCCCCGGGATTCCCCTCTAGATAAGAGCTTCCATTCTGCCCCGGAGTTCCCATTTGAACAAGAAAGCTCCCATCTGGACAAGAGAGAGAGACTTCCTGAATCTGTCAGCTCTGCCTGAACCAAGTGCGCTGATAAGACCAAGAACAAACCACAAGGAGATGGGCAGATGTCAAGGCAGAAGTACATACAACAAAATAAAGAGCAATACAGCATCACCAGAACCTAGCCCACCTCCAACATCTAGACCTGAACATCAAAAATTGGAAGAAGGAGAAGAAAACAGCCTTATTGAATAACATCATGAAGAAGGTAGAGGCTTGTGTAGAGGAAAAGACAAAAAAAATGGGAAGAACGCTATAAACAACTAGAGGAAAGGACAAATAAATTAAAAGAAAACAATAAAGTCCTGGAAGAAAACAATAAAGTACTGAAAGAAAATCATAAAAAAGCAATGAAACAAATAAAGGAAACAGACTGAGACCTGAAAAGGGAAATAGAAAAAATGAAGAAGACACAAAAGGAAGGAAAGCTGGAAATAGAAAATCTGAGTAAAAGATCGGGAAATTCAGATGCAAGTATAACCAACAGAATGTAAGAGATGGAAGAGAGGATCTCTGGCATTGAAGACACAATAGAAGAAATAGATTTATCAGTCAAATGAATCAGTCAAAGAAAACACTAAAGCCAACAAAGTCATGAACCAAAATGTCCAAGAAATTTGGGACACCATGAAAAGACCAAACCTACGAATAATAGGGATAGAAGAAGGAGAAGAATACCAAGTCAAAAGGCACAGAAAATATATTCAACAAAATCATAGAAGAAAACTTTCCCAACTTAAAGAAGGAAATGCCTATGAAGATACAAGAAGCCTATAGAACACCAAACAGACTAGAACCCCCAAAAAGTCCCCTCGACGCATAATAATTAAACAACTAAATGTACAGAATAAAGAAAGAATATTAAGAGCTGCAAAGTAAAAAGGCCAAGTGACCTATAAACGCAAACCCATCAGAATAACACCCAATTTCTCAATGGAGACTTTGACAGCCAGAAGGACCTGGACAGATGAAATGCAGACACTAAGAGATCATGGATGTCAGCCCAGACTAATACACCCAGCAAAACTTTCAATCATCATAGACAGAATGAACAAGACATTCCAAGACAAAGCCAGATTTAAACAATACTTATCCAAAAACCCAGCTCTACAGAAAGCACTAGAAGGAAAATTCCAACCGAAGGAAGTCAGATACACCCTCAAAAACATAGGCAATAGATAAAGCCACAGCAGTAAACCCCAAAGAAGAGAAGTACACACAGACTACCACCAAAATTAACAGGGATGAACAATCACTGGTCATTAATATCCCTTAATATCAATGGAATTGATTCACCTATAAAAAGACATAGGCTTACAGAATGGATACGAAAGCAGGACCCATCTTTCTGCTGCATACAAGAAACACATATTAAATTCAAAGATAGACACTACCTAAGAATAGAAGGCTGGGAAAAGACTTTCCAATCAAACAGTCTTAAGAAACAAGCAGGTGTAGCCATCCTGATATCCAACAAAATAGACTTCAAACTAAAGTCAGCCAAAAGAGATCAAGAAGGGCATTGCATACTCATCACAGGAAAGATCCACCAAGATGAAGTTTCAATTCTGAACATTTATGCCCCAAACACAAGGGCACCCACATATGGAAAAGAAACATTACTAAAGCTTAAACCACATATAAAACCCCACACATTAACAGTGGGAGATCTCAACACCCCACTTTCACCACTGGACAGAT